GCTGCTGCAAAGGAAGTGGAACTAGAAATTTGTCAAGAGAATAAATAAATAACCTCCATGTAAACATCTCTTTTAAAGATTAAAGAAGAACATATTATTGGCGCTTCCTACAATCATGTTAGCAATACATGAAATGACGACAAAAAGTTTACCAATTATCTACTTTGTTTACCATAACAGATAAGATGATGTTGTATAAATGTTTAAGGGAAAATGACATATACATAACATTATCCAGATAGGATCAAAATATCTCATTTCTTTGCTTCACAATAACATCTTTAGAGCTACATATGACAAGCAACGCTCAAAAAAAAAAAAAAAAAAAGAAGTCAACTACAAAAAGATAAAATTTATTTATCAAGTTCCTTTTCTTGGGTTGATGAACAATTGGGTTTGCGACCACGCTTTTTCCTCAGAGGGTATGTATACTACATTTTCAACAGCTTTTGATAGATTTGAGCACAATAACATATCCTTCCATTTGTGCATCAATTTTTGAATATGACTGAATATGTTTCTCATTCTACAAGCAAATAAAACATTTGTAAGTTATATGTCAACACATCACACATTAGATGAAAATATATGCTTTAAAACAACTTAACCACAAGAAACCATATCACTGTGTCACTTGAAAAAGGAAACAATCAAAATCCAATCTAGCAGAGCTAAACACTGAAACATAATTTGTATCTTATATCCAATATATGTTGTGCAAAAGAACATGTTTTGTACATAGTTTGGAAACAACATGGATACAAATACAATTTAAAAAAAAAAAAAAAGAAACAGAGTGATATCTGATTAATAATTTCTAAATAACATACTGCTTCAAGTTTGCCCAACGCGTTTTCCAACTTCAAAGTTAGCTAAAGATTTTCATTTGTTACAGTTTCAATCTGTGTTTGAGAAAAAAAAAACACATAAATAGTACTTCAAGCAATATATGACACTTGAGATCATTTGTAAAAACGAAACATACGCTACCACACTACTAATACCATTTTTTGGCAGCCAAAGTACAAGCTTTTGTATTTGCCATGACACATACATGGGTTCTTATGAGGGAAAAAATTGTTTTGTTGACTTTCAATTAGTTGTATTAGGTAGTCAACTTTGTCTTGCAAGTTTCCCTCTGCCCTAATTAGACCAGGCTGCTCCAATTCCTCATATGTCGGCGGTTCATCTTTTTTATCACTTTCACTAAGAACTATTAAGTCAATCACACGCTAAATATCCTCATTCTGACTATGCACATTTGTACCTTGAAGACGTACAGAGCGCCTAACACTAACAATAATAGAGCCCTTCACTTTCCTCTTCGACAATACATTACCAGATGAGTTTGCATTTTAGGTTGTGTTTCTACTTTCTCCAATGATTGATATGTGTTAAGCATTCTCCAAAAACTATCAAATATGAAAATCCATTAAGGCGTTAAAAATTTAAAAATCTAAAAATTTGATTAGTATAAAAGCTAAAACACATACTTAAATGCCGATAAAAAAAAAAAAAAAATGGTATAATATCACATAAACCACATTTTAAGAATAAATTACACAAACAAACAAACAACTGAAACTATTAGAAAAAAATAAACAAAAGATTAAAAACAAAGATGAGTTATACAGAGGCTCCATTGGCAATGGAAAAAGGCTTGAAACAAGCACTGCAACCGTCTTCGAAAAAATCAAAAATAGCACCAGAACACAAACCTAACAAGGACATAAATTAGAATAGGAATTAGAAAGAAATGAAATAAGGGAAAAGAAAGGGAACCCTAAAAAAGTAATAATCTGAATTTAGCAAAAAACCGGTTGGACAGTAAAACTTTGTAAAGGAATTAAAGGAAAATGAAATAAACAAAAAAAATGGAACCCTATAAAAGTGTTAACCCGGTTTTCACACAAAACCGGTGGTTCGGCACACTGACACCGGTTCAAATAATATTAATCATACTATTTAATATTTCTTATTTTGATTAAAGTGATATACATTGACATGTAATATTTATATGAAATTGCTATTCTTAAATTCTTTATTATTTATTGCTTTAATTATTAATTCAACATTAAATAAAATACTATCACAAATATTTTCTAATCTATTTTTTTTTGTCAGTCTTAGGACACTCTTTATATTACATAATCTCCTAATTATGTCAGTATATTGTGTAATTTGTAACTAACATAATTAGGGGATTTAGTGGATCATTTTCTCCCTGCATATTGTCTATAACTCTGTAGTAGATATTAACCAATTGAAAAATCCAATTCTTCAAACAAACATAGTATCAAAGCCTCTTTCATAAACAACACCATATTATATACAAACAACAATACTTGAAATACAAGCAATAAACATACCCGCGCAATGCGCGGGCCTTTTACCTAGTTATACATGATTCTGGATTTGACAATAAATTGTTGATTGAGCACGTAAACTTTGACATAGAAATGTTGTTTCTAATAGATTTAGAGTGTGTTTAAGATTGCTATAGCTCAAGACTTCATCACTTAATTCTTAAGCTACAAAAACAAAAGTGTTCGGTAAACAATTTTAAAAATTGATTAACTTAAATAGCCATTTAATTTATTTAAAAAATAATTTCATAATTTATTTATAAATTAGAAATAATTGAGATAGGACTTGTTGTTGCCACCATCGGCGGTGGTCAATGTCCAGTCAACGGTTATTGACCGACAGTCAATGTCGGTCAACAATGGTTCATTGAAGCAAAAATTGATCACAGAAGGACCAAAATCTCCTAATCTATAGGTTTCACTGTATTCCAATGCTTTTTTTGGCAACAGGAGCTGGTGAATTATTTGGACAAATTTATCAGCCAAAATAAGCATAAAAATCCAGTGGAATCACCTGAATCTATAGATCAGAAGCTTTCGATCCCAGTGGAATCGTATTTGGCTTCAATGCGCACTGTTGACCTTTAGTCAATGATTGTTGATCGATGATTGACCACTGCGAACTAGATCTATTATTTTGAATTTTTTGAATTATTAAGTAATTAATAATTTATTTTATGTTAATTTTTTAATTTTCAAATACTTACAAAATACGAAATTTCAATTTTTTTTTTTTTTTTTTTTTGTGTCATTATACATACAACAATTTCAAAATCTTATTTACCAAATACCAAACATAAAATCATTAATTTTAAAAGTCATAGCAATTAAAAAAGTTGCATTTACCAAACACATTAAAAATAATTTTCAAAAATGATTATTTCCAAAGTTGGGGAAAAACTGATTATACTTACAAGAAGTCTACAACAGAATTTACCTAGAGCTTGTAAAGCTGCTGATTCACATACAAGATTATCTGTCAATCATGATAATGCTCCCATTTTATCATAGAAATCAGATAAAAATGTTGTTACTTTCCCTTTGACTGATTAATTTTTCGCTTGCTCTCAATCACCATGTATTCATACTTAATTGAAGAGGATCTACTGTACAAGCGTTTCCCAAGTGACCTCAGGTTCATCCACTAAAATGGCAATATATATCAAATTGAAAAGATCAATTATCTCAATGTAAAAACTCAGGACAAACTAAAAAAAAGATTATGAGAAATGCAGGCACCAAAAATTCAGAGAAGTAAAAAGCCAAGTCAGAGATTTTGCTAAGTTTGTGTCAGCTGTAAAAACCAAAGACTTAAGTCTTGAAAAGAAGTTATTTAGCAGGAGCATGAGTTTTACCAAAAACTAATTTAAACTTTCCCAGATCCTTGCATAAATATATCAGTGGCATTAGTGGCGGTGGTCAAAGAGGAGAAGGACTACCCTTTGGAGTTGGAGCCTTGGAGGTGGTGGTGGTGGGGAAACGACTTACACCTACCCAAGGTTTGAAGAAACGACACATTAGTATCCAAAAGGTTTCAAAAAGACAAACAGGTACCTTTCATTAGAGAAAAGACTAGGATGCCCTTTGAGAAATATTAGTCTATTTTTTTAATTACTTTTAGTCCCCTTAAGTTTATTAATTCTACAAATACCCCCAGAAAAAAGTTTAAAAATTAACAAAAACACCCCCACTCATCCATACTTGTCAGATTCCGGCGGCCAACACCGGAAATGGCTGATAGTTCACCGATCTAGCCTTTTTCGGCCAGATCCACCACGGATCTGGCCAGAAAAGGCCAGATCTGATGTGAGAAGGCCAGATCTGGCTCTTTGGCCGTCACTTTCTGGCCAGATCTGGCCTTCTCACTTCAGATCTGGCCTTTTCCGGCCAGATCCGTGGTGGATCTGGCTGAAAAAGGCTAGATCAGTGAACTATCAGCTATTTCCGGTGGTGGCATAGACCGTTGTGACAGATTCCGGCTACCACCGGTGATGGTCGTGGGAATCTGACAAGTATGAGTGCGTGGGGGTGTTTTTGTTAATTTTTAAACTTTTTTCTAGGGGTATTTGATGGAATTAATAAACTTAAGGGGTCTAAAAGTAATAAAAAAAATAGACTAATATTTCTCTAAGGGCATTCTAGTCTTTTCCCTATCGAAAGGTACCTGTTTTTTTTTTTTTGAAACCTTTTGGGTATTAATATGTCGTTTCTCCAAACCTTGGGTAGGTTTAAGTCGTTCTGCCTGGTTGTGGTTGAGGTTGAGGATCAGGGTCAGGAGATGTTTCATTTAGTAGTGCTACCAACGGCTCTCAATGCTTCAAATAAAGTTTCCAATCGTCAACCTTTGAAATTTTTTCTGAGACTATTTATCTGATTAAGTCAATTCATCGTTTACATGAATAAAATTTTAATTTAATCGTTGTTATAAGATGTAACAGGAAACACTTGGGAGTCCATACTCAAATCTTTACTGTCATGATGATTAGTTGTATCTGTCCGATCTTCCACCATAAGCCACGTGTCAAAATCTTGGACAGCCACACTTAATGCGAATCCGCTACGTTACAACATACTATCCAAACTTCCCTATAAAAAATATCTCCCAAAATGAACCGTCCTCCCTTGCCTGCAAAAAACGCGAATCTACCTCTCTCTCTCTCTCTCTTCTCTTCGATAGCGAAATCGAATTACGAAAAAACAAAACAATCCAAACCACATTAAAAAAGAACGGATCCGAGAAACCACGCACCTGAATAACTGAAACCCTAGCCCTAGCCGCGTCTTATCCTCTCTCTCACTCTCTTCCCACCTTGTATCCGTCACGTGAACTCTGTAACACAGTAGATTTTAATTAATTAGGGTTAGGTTTAGGGTTAGGGTACAATTAGGGTTAGGGTTTTTGATCTTATGTGCATGCGAAGGTATTTTGGGGCCGACATAGATTAAAATTAGAATTAGAATAGGGTTAGGGTTAGGGTAAAGGTTTGTCTTAGGGGATGATGGAATGTGGCGGTGGTGGAGTTGGAGGAGGTGGTGGTGGTGGTGGTTGTTTTTGGTGATGAGCGGAGATTTTCGATGTCACAAGCAGAAGAAGATGATGGGTAGGGGTGCGGACGGAGGTTGCGGCACTGATGAAAGGCCTTGCCGCCCTGCTGTTTCTAAAATTCCGGCTAAAATTCCGGAAGCTACCAAAGATAGCAGCAGTGTTGACTTATTTTCGCAGGCTCGGAAGGCGCTTTCCGAGCGGTCCCCTTTTGATGTTGCTGAAGATGGAGTTTTAAGTGAGACTAATTTACCCAGTGTTTTTGCCAGTTTGTTAAAGCAATCTGATAGTAGAAAGCGGCACAAGTCTCACTCGGTTGCGGATAAGAAGTCTTCTACCAAGAGCGAGAGGTCTAAAGGCAAAGGTGGTAGTATTTGGGTCGAGACTGAGGAATATTTTAGGGACTTGGCATTGCCTGATATCGATGCTTTATCTGAGGTAGCTTCCGTTAGTTCTTTAGCTTCTAAGAAGTGTTTTCTGATTCCGTTTCGTGGAAATGATGATGGAAGTAATGCGAATGTGAGTGGAGTTGAGTGTGTTAGTTGCGGGAATGGCGATGCTAATGGGGTTGTTACTAAGGAGGAGTTTAAAGATGATGGTGATAAAGAAGATGATAAACAGTTAATGGAGATTGATGGCTGTGGGGACGATAGTTTGATTAATGAAGAAATGAGTTCTTCTAGTGCGGATTCCTATGTAGGTTTAGAGTGGCTATTAGGTTGTAGGACTAGGGCTTTGTTAACTTCGCATCGGCCTTCAAAAAAGAGGAAGCTTTTAGGTGGTGATGCAGGATTGGAGAAAATTTTGATCGGTTGTCCTTGTGAAGGGAACACGGGTCTATGCGACTTTTGCTGCAGTGGTGATACGGGGAAAGATTTCAACAAATTGATCGTTTGCAGTTCTTGTAAGGTTGCAGTTCATCAGAAGTGTTATGGCGCACTGGAGGCTTCAGATGGTTCTTGGTTATGTTCTTGTTGTAAGGAAAAGAAGAATGATAACGGAAATTTAGTGAAGCAGCCATGTGTGGTTTGTGCAAAGCCAGGGGGTGCTTTGAAACCTGTTCTTGGGAGGGTTGAAGATGGAGGGTCTGTGGAATTTGCTCACTTATTTTGTTCTCTGTTGATACCTGGAGTCTTTATAGAGGACATGACGAAGATGGAGCCAATTATGAATTTGGAGGGAATACAAGAAACCAGAAAGAAAGCAGTGTGTAATGTGTGCAAAATGAAGTCGGGAGGTTGTGTCCGCTGCAGTTATGGTATGTTTTGTTAGTTACTTATTTTATACCATTCTGCATTTTATTTTTTTGCTGGTACAACTGGAGAGCATGCTAGTAATTGAAATTTGGGTCGTACTTATCTGCCTGAAACTGCGGTGGTAGGATCATATTCATAGAGCAGCCATGCAACAATATGGTGTAGAATTGTGTATCTAATTAATTCTTGTTTTAAGAATTTACTTTGTATTTTAATTTTCCACTGAGCAGTGGACTGGTTGCAGTATTATTTTTTTGTTCTAAATCACATGTATTACTCCGAGTTAAAGATGAATGGGTAAAAGGATAGACATACTTTGTATAAAATAAGGATATTTATATTATGTATTAAGCCTCCTCAATATAAGAAAGGTGATCGTGTTTATTTGTAAGACAGTATCTCTGTCATCCACATGTGCAGTTCTTTTGGGATCCATTATCTGATATTAATCTTAAAATGTAATTCAATCGCCATCAGCTTGATAAGTTAAATTAGAAGTCTTATGTTATTAGAATTACTATCTTTTGTATAGAGTGCAAAGACCACTATGCTATCTCCTTGTTTTGAGATATGGTGATATGCTGCAGTTATTGATCTGGATTCATGCATCCTGTCTGCATGCACCAGAAGACATCTTCATTTGATTATAGTTCTGTCTATGTTGTTAAAGATGTTTAAGCTCCAGAGTCTCCCTGCCAACCCTAAAGAGTGTTGAAACTAAGGCTGTTGAGAAGGATGTGTAAAATGCCATTTATTGTGATTCCATTCTATTAATATTTACATGGTTATTAAACACTGGAGCATTACTAAATTGTGGTAAAATGACATCTACATGAGATATAATGGCAAGAGTTGATATGTGTGTTGTGATAGAGACCTTGGGCTACAAAAATAAGTATGGATGTGTATCTTGTTGAAAGTTTCGCGATGACAGTTGAACACGTGGCCAATAGTTTGAGGCAGCAGAGGCCTTGTGATTTTGTGTTCTAATTGTGTGCTTTGGAGCTTCAGATTTTTCTCATTTGTCATTAAATATCCTATCACTTCCTTATATGGGTTACAAGAAAAGTGAATTGACCACCAAGTCTCTCTGGAAGGAAAGCAATTATTGAGATTTTGTTGAAGTTTAATCTTATGTTACAGCTGGAGTTTACTTTCTAGAAGTGGCTTATCATGCTGAGCTCGGTACTGCTTGTTATAGAAGTCATGTATTCTCCTAGAAGAAATTATGAGTCTAAGAGTATGCTACTTTTTGTTATTAGAAAGTAGTACATTATTTATGCACCGTAGTGTTCTTGTTAAATATAAAAAAAAAAAAAAAACATCAATTTTTAATCAGGCAAGCTTCTTGCAAATGAGAATGTCTTTGATTCCGTTTTCCTTCACATGTTCATAATTTTTGTGCATATGCTTATATGTTATAGTGTTATGTTTAATTCTTTGCTTTGTCCAAGTAAGTTAGCCAAGAATGAGTACTCTTTGTGAATATATGAGAAGTGGGAAAAGGAAGTATGTATTTGCCATACTCCCATTAATCCTTACATGTTTCGTGCTTTTTATGTCTTANAAAAAAAAAAAAAAACATCAATTTTTAATCAGGCAAGCTTCTTGCAAATGAGAATGTCTTTGATTCCGTTTTCCTTCACATGTTCATAATTTTTGTGCATATGCATATATGTTATAGTGTTATGTTTAATTCTTTGCTTTGTCCAAGTAAGTTAGCCAAGAATGAGTACTCTTTGTGAATATATGAGAAGTGGGAAAAGGAAGTATGTATTTGCCATACTCCCATTAATCCTTACATGTTTCGTGCTTTTTATGTCTTAGCATTTGAGTCTCAGTCGGGATTTTGAGGATGTATGTACAATTTTTGAGACTCTTCTTAGAAGGAAATAAGTCACAATATTTTGCTAGCTTTGTTTTTTTTCTTTTTTGTTAAACACGCAGGTATCTTCTTGTTATCTGTTAGGCTTGCAATTTTGTCCAATGTTGATATTTTGATCTTCAATTGAAACGGCCAATTTAAGGATGCACAGACTTTGTTTGTCAGAAAATGTACAATTATCAGGGGTTTTTCTTCTTTATTGCACAAAAATGTTGAGATCACCTGCTATTATACTTTTTGTTTTGAGTTATCTGTTGTCATTGTACCTTTAACTCATTTTATTGGGTTGGTTATGTACATGTTAGTTAGTCTTGCTTCCACTGTTAATTGTATTTTATTTCAGCTTCTTGTAGAATTTCTTTCCATCCTATGTGTGCAAGGGAGGCAAGGTACAGATTGGAGGTGTGGGGAAAATATGGATGTGAAAACGTAAGCCATTTCTTTCATTTCTAGAATCTGAAATTTTATAATTGTTCTTGTTATTTACTATTAATACAAGGGTTGATACAGAAGTGTGCTAGTTACATCTTTGGTGATGATGTTTTCTGAAAAATGAACTATTTTTATGCTGCTATAGGTTGAGTTACGGGCTTTTTGCTTAAAGCACTCAGACATCCAGGACAAAAGTAGTAACCCACACATGAGAGATCCCCGATCAGCTATTGGCAGTGACTCCTCGGGTTCCAATCAACTTCTAGGGACTTTGCCAATGAACAAATTACAAAAGGTGAAGATCTGTCGAAAAAATGGAGATAAACTTGCAGTTCACATGGATGCTTCTGATGCCAATTCTGATAGATCCAGTGACAGTGAAGAGCGGGGGTTGTCTGGTTCCAGATTAAATGGTGCAACTATGTCTGAATGTGGTGAGGCTCAGGGAATGTTATTAGACAAAAGCGATAGTGAGGATGTTAATCCTTCTGGCTCCTTAAATTTTGCTGTGATTTTGAAGAAGGTACTGGAAGAATATATTATTATAAGTAATTAATTATTCTTTTCTGAAAGAATTTGTTTGAGCTTCAGTTTGTTCTAAGTCTTACATCTGTCAATGATGCAGTTAATTGATCGTGGAAAAGTCAATGTTAAAGATGTAGCATTGGAGATTGGCATTTCCCCTGATTCATTGAATACAACACTTGCTGTAATGAGCTTTATAGTTTGTAATCAATTTTTGAAAGTAATTTTAGAAATTTATCATTTCTTTATCCTTTTTAGAATTTCTTTAATGACTTGACACTCTTTCTACAGGATGGTAGCCTGGGTCCTGACATGTTATGCAAAATAGTCAAATGGTTCAACAATCATGCATGTTTGGGTAGTTTGCAGAAAAACTTTAAATTTAAGTTAAAATCCTCAATTTCTTCCAAGGCTGAGACTGATGTTGCTGATCCTGATGGTGTAATGGTATCAGAGCCTGATATTTCAGATCCTGTTGCCGTTAAGTCAGTACCTCCACGTAGAAGAACCAAAAGTAGCATGAGAATTTTGGGAGATAATAAAGTAATATGCTTATCTGATGAGATCTTGGGTGACAATGGGGTAATGAAGAATCAGGTAAAAATAGATCAAATTGACAGTGATGAAGCAGTGAATTCATGCAAAGTATCCATACCAGATGCCACTGAAAAGGTAATCTTATGGTATTGCAATAATTTGCTTTTGAATTTCATGTACCACATAAACTTTCTAATTTGGTTTGTAGGCTTTTTGGGTATCAACTGAAGTTAAATCATGAAATTTCAATATTGGATGCATTAGAGTAATTGGAATCTGTTTTTGGTTTAGGAAGTTATTTTGCATGTTGGTTTGGCATCCTCCTGGTTGAAGTTTGATGTGATTGTGCCAAATATTGTTAGCTGACTAGTAACATGTCCATTGTCTGCATTATCTTAACCCTTTATCTTCAATAATGGCCTCTCGAGATGTAGAGGAGCATTTCTTTTTGGGGTGGGATGGGGGGCAGTGAATTGAAAATGTGTACTATTGAATTTTTTTGGTTTGTGGCCCTTCTTCAGTTTTGTCATTTCGAGCTCACTCAAGCTTGATGAGATGCCCTTAGGATTTCCGTTTGTGGTTAGGTTATAACGTTCTTTTCTTAGAAACTAATGTTTGTTAAATTAAAAAGGTCCTAACTTTGGTGTCATTATATCTCGTGAATTATGTAGGTATAGTTTTTTAATGCCCCTTGAAAGTTGGTTTCTTCAAGCTCTTTTTTGCCAGGTACCTCCCTTCCTCTGAGGTTGCTCTGCCCACCTCCAGAATTTTTGACATCCACCCATACTAGAGGGATGAGAATCTCTCCCGTTTGAAACAATAAAGTTCTTGTGTACTAGACCTCTGATCTTAGCATAATAATCAATGGAATAGTTTCATTTCTGTACTGGGGAGTTGTGAAGCCCTTTCCCGCTGTTAGAGATAGCTAGGGTGTGTGTCTGCATGTTTGCTTATTTTTTTGATAATTTTAGGAGATGAATATGGGAGCATACATTGATAATGTGGGCTTTATTCAGTTATTAACTGATACTATCTGGTTTTCTTATCTACCACTTTTATCTTATGCTTTGGTTATTCGTGGTTCATTTGCCAGCTCTACATCATTCACCTTTGCTTTTTGTTTGATAAGCTAAAGATTGTTATATGTTGCATATTTGTGGCTTTCTCAATTATTTGGGGCAATGGTGACTTATTGAAGAAAATATGTTCATACTCTGTAAAGAAAGATGGAAAATTGTAACTGTTGAGCTTGAATTTAGCTTCATCTGCTGAACAGCTGAAGACACTATGAGAGAATATAGTGGCTGTGAAATTAGTTTAAGGGTCTTACGCAATAGAAATATCAGGTTGCTGAAGCAAAAAAATGCTTTGAGTGATTTTAAGTAATCACTACTGATTATGTCCATGTCTCAAAATGCTATGGATTAATACATTAAGGATGTTTGAATTGCTGAGATCCGGTTGGGGGAAAATCAACTTCTGAAACGATTTTCTGTCCTTTTCTGGTGCATATGTTTTCTGCTTTTTGTTTTGCCTTTTCATCAAATTTTATTTGGCTTCTGCCATATTTTTTTCCCTTAAACAATTTTCTTTTGTTTTGGCAGAGTTCAACCAATCCTGATAATGTTGAAGATTCTCAGGCAAGGCACTCACTGAAGTCTGAAGGTATGTCTTCCTGAATTATCATTTGTCTCTGTTGCCTTTTATGTGGGTCAAAAGTTAATCATATTTAGGTTAACATGGCTTGCATAAAATTATATATTAGTTTTTAATGTGAGTTGGTTTGAGGGTCATAGTTTCTTCTTTTGCCGAGTCATCAGAATTTTTGAACTCCCTTTAATTGTAAAGTCTTGGTTGTTGGTTGCGCCTGCCTCTTTAGAAAGGGTGTGCTAGTGGGCGTATTTTTTATTTTAAGATGGCGTAGTTGTATGGTATTAGATTGATAGGAGAAGACTATTAAGAAGCCCTATCTAATGTTCTACAACTGGCCATCTGAGAGTAAAGTTGCTACTGAATTGATTTTTAATTTCCAATGTAAAGTTACTATAGCTTTGAATATCAAAGGCTATAAGTGCTTTGTGTTTGTGATGGGCATATGTCCACTGTATGTGTAATTTATTTATCAAGTCGGCCAGTGTTCTTGTCTTGTTTTGTGACCTTATTTCTTAACCTGTTTATATTCTGGTTTTCAATCTCTTTTGACTTAGACAGTATATGTTGGACAGGCAACTCAGTTAAACCCTCAGATTGCAGCTTTTCTGAAAAATGTCAGCCAGAGGAGGCTGAAATTCCTGGACAGAATTTATTGGTGAAAGCAGATCAGGAAAATCCTCTTTGTTCAACTGTGAATCTGCTTATCCCTGACATAATGTAAGTTCTTGAATATCAAAATTTTCTTGTAGCTAACCTATTGAAAAAAAAAAAAAATTGAACATCTAATATTTGCTTTTTTCAGCAAGACAGAAGCTTCTGGTTTTTATGTGCACCCATATTTGCAAAAAGCATTTATGCTGATGCAGAGTGGGATGCTTTCAAAGAACCAAGTACATGAATCAGATGGTAAAAGTTTCTTCTCCATATTTTGGTGAAGTCTTTTTCTGTTTCATGTTTACATCCTGTTCGATAGGTTAAACAAATATTTTCATTTGGCAGGTTCAGGTGAGGGAGAAATATCCCGTCTGGAGGCATCTTCCAATGCCAGTGTTTGTTGTAATCACCATAGTCAACATCCGAAGTGCAATGATGCGATCTGTAAATTTGACGGAGTAAATTTAGAGCAGTTGGTTAAAGCTAGGAAATTGGGAGTTTTAGAATTGTCTCCCCTAGACGAAGTGGAAGGGGAAATTATTTATTTTCAGCATAGGTTACTTGGCAATGCAGTGACTAGAAAGCGGTTTGCTGGTCTCTTCTCTCATCTCTCATGTGTTTACTATTCTGTGTTTTTCCATTTTGTTGCTCATCCTGCTATTTCTTTTACTAAATGGCATAGAAATTTCTATTACATTCTTTGTTGTATCAAATACTCAATTTCTTATGAATGTTTTCTGCAGATAATTTGGTTTCCAAGGTTGCCAAGAGTCTACAACAGGAGATTGACATAGCACGGATGCGAAGATGGGATGCTGTGCTTGTTAACCGATATCTATGTGAACTTAGAGAAGCAAGGAAGCAGGGAAGGAAAGAGAGAAGGCATAAAGAAGCCCAGGCTGTGCTAGCTGCCGCAACTGCTGCTGCAGCAGCTTCTTCTAGGATTTCATCATTTAGAAAAGATGCTCTCGAAGAATCTTCACCTCAGGAGGTTATTGTTACAATACTTGAATTATTTTGGTTATTTTCTTGTTTTGAATTTATTCTATTTCTTATGTGGTACTGTTTATTATTTTAACGAATTTCTCCCTTCTTTTCAGAACTTATTGAAGTCAAATTCTCATAACGGAAGGGCTGGCATTAGTTCACAGGTGATGCCTCGGGCTAAGGAGACACTTTCAAGGGTGGCTGTCCCGAGGGTTTCATTGGAGAAGTACTCTGATTTGGTTCATCCAGTCTCAGATTTTTCTAAAGAACATCCTAGATCATGTGACATTTGCAGACGCTCTGAGACAATATTGAACCCTATATTAGTCTGTTCAAGTTGCAAGGTCAACTAGCCCAATTCATACGCTAAATCTTAGTTTGAAAAAAAAAAAAAAAAGAAATGATATTGTTCTGTTTTTTGTTTTAACATAGCCCTTCTGCCAGCAGGTTGCTGTACATTTGGATTGCTATCGGAGTGTTAAAGAATCTACAGGTCCTTGGCACTGTGAATTATGTGAAGAATTATTATCGTCTAGATCATCTGGAGCTCCATCTGTCAATTTTTGGGAGAAACCTTTTTTTGTTGCAGAATGTGGTTTATGTGGTGGCACTACCGGTGCTTTTAGGAAATCTGCAGATGGTCATTGGGTGCATGCCTTCTGTGCTGAGGTTAAGTTTCAATTATTCTTGTTGGTTAGAAAATTGTTTGGCACCCCTTATTCATTGAAATGTCATGAACTTTGGTTTCTACATTATGTTCACAGTGGGTCTTTGAGTCAACATTCAGGAGGGGACAAGTAAATCCTGTTGTGGGAATGGTATGTGCAGATCTTGTATTCATTCACAAAACTATTTTTCTCTGTATGTTTTTGAGTAATCTTACATGAACCCTATTTAACACTAATGACTATACCTAATGGAAATTCAGGAGACTGTTTCAAAAGGGACTGCTGTTTGTTGTGTCTGCCGGCACAGAAATGGTGTCTGCATAAAGGTGAGATTTACATTTATGTTTTCTGTTAATTGTTTTGTTAACTTTCATTGATTTTTTTGCAATTAACATGTAATTTTGCTGATGCAGTGCAACTTTGGTCACTGTCAGACCACATTTCATCCCACCTGTGCTAGAAGTACTGGGTTTTACATGAATGTAAAGTCTACTGGTGGCAATTTCCAGCACAAGGCTTACTGTGAAAAGCATAGCTTGGAGCAGAGGGCAAAGGTCTGCTTCTTTGTTTGCATAGAAGATTTATTATTTTCCAGAGGCTGGTTATTATTAGTCTTTTATAGCTGTGCTAAGAACTAAGGTCTGTTATATATATCTTGACTTGTTTTTGAATCTCTATTTTATAGGCTGAAACTCAAAAACATGGGGTTGAGGAATTGAAAAGCATTAAGCAAATCAGGGTAAGGGTGATTTTTATCCTTTAGTTGCTTTATTTTGCTTTAGCTTGCTCAATTTTTATTCTTACTGATCAAATGCTTTTCTGTAGTGCACGTATTTAATTGAAAAATTTGCAGGTTGCATGTTAATAATCCAGAAGAAGTTAAGGTTCTAAATTCATTTTTTTGGTAGTCTGTGTGGGTTCTATCATTCAAACTTTTGCATTGAAAATTTGAGTTTTGAAATGAGCAGAACATTATAATTGGTACTATGGCGTTAACATGTATTGAAGTTTTTGCCTGATACTTATTTTGCTGATTACAGCTTCTATTAGTTTATCTTCTGGTTGGATTGTGCAATTTGAGTCTCCTGATTCTTTTCATGAATGCCTTTACAGGTTGAGCTAGAGAGGTTACGCCTCCTCTGTGAGCGAATCATCAAACGTGAGAAGATAAAGGTAACTCATTTTCAACAATGGTTTTAATTTATCTGTGTATAAATTGTGCCAGTTATATCCAATTTTTGGTTTTCAAAAAGTTTAGGCTGCGTTTGTTTCCCTGTTTTCAAAATATTCTATTTCTATTCTTAAAAAAATGTGCGTTTGTTTCAATATTCGTAAAATCATATCCTATAATATTCTACTATTTAAACCCCCATAGGTTTGTTAATTTAACTAAGCACCCCTAACAAAAAAGTTTTATAAATTGACAAAAACACCCCTGCTCACCCACATTTGTTAGATTCCAGCAACAACCGTCGGAAGGTGGTTGGAATCTGGCGTAGGGGCGCACTACCTGCTGGATCTGGCCAGGTGTCCGTCAATCTGGTCTTTTCCGGCCAGATCTTTAGCTACATCTAGCTGTCAATGACGGCTAATATATGGCCGTCGTTGACTGTCAACGACGACCATATCTTTGGTGGTCAACGGCCAAATCCGGCCAGATCTGTGGTGGATCTGGCCGGAAAAGGTCATAGTGGCGCACGACCGGCCAGATCTGGCTGGTCGGCGCAATGACACCAGATTTGGGCGGTAGTGGCTGGAATCTAGCATCTGTGGGTGGCTGGGGATATTTTTATCAATTTATAAACTTTTTATTATTAAAGGTGTTAAGTTAAATTAACAAACCTAGGAGTGTTTTTTTTATTAATTTTCAAATCCTATCTCGTAATAATAACCCAACTTAACAATAATATTTAAAAAATACTACTCAAAATAATAAAACAAATACACCCTAGTTTCTTTTCATTAACTTTAGTTGGTACCACTTCTCTCTGTGTTTTCTTGAATGTGAGTAGAGCATATTCAATAGTATGTTTTCCTTGTGTTTGCAGCGAGAGTTGATTCTTTGCTCTCACGATATACTTGCTTTCAAAAGAGACCATGCTGCTCGTTTGGCACTGGGCCGCACTCCCTTTCCACTTCCAGATGTTAGTTCAGAATCTGCTACAACTTCACTTAAAGGTCATACCGATGATTATAGATCATGCAGTGAAGCTCTCCAGCGTTCAGATGATATAACTGTGGACAGCAGTACTGCTGTTAAGCACCGAATTAAGGTTCCTCTGTCCATGGAAGCTGACCAAAAGACAGATGACAGCTCTACTTCACAAAATCTTTTTACCCAAAAACCTTTGGAGAGGTTGACATTTTCTGGGAAACAAATACCTCACAGACCTCTTTTATCACGTAGTCTCTCAAATGAAGAGGAATGGAGCTCAAAAGCTCGAAAGGTACAGTTTTTTTTGCATCACTGACTGTTTAGTTTCACTTGCCTTTTTCATTAAAATGAGAATTCAGAGTTAATGTTTTTTATACTATTATGCAACAGCATTTCGAAACATTTGAAAAAGAAATGGTAATGACATCAGATGAAGCATCTATGAAGAATCGGAAATTACCTAAAGGGTATTTGTTTGTCCCTCTTGATTGCCTTCCAAAGGAGAAGCAGATCAACCACCATACATCGTCTGTTGAACCGGTGGAACCTGATGACTAGACTGACAATTACTGGGCCGTCTATGTGCCAATCGGAGGTTTGACAATTTTACCTTGTCCCAGATAACTGCATTCTGCTCGGGGCCTGCTATATTTATTTGATTTTGATGGCGGAGTGTCGGTGGAATTAATGCTTATATGTTGCTGGCCAGTGTGTACTCACGAGTGGGAGTGACATTCTGGTTTGGGTGGGGAAGTTTTGGAATCATTGTTGTATATTCATTGTGAGAGTAATTGTACAGTGGGTGAGAGTTTATTCCAAATCTCATTTGTATTGCGAGGGGCTCCATGTTCATTTTATTGATGTTTGTCGCTTTGGTTAGGGGATGGTCATGGAGAGGGCTGAACAGAAGCTCCTCTTCATGTATCTGTATGCAAGGAATTAAATGATGTCACCTACTGTGTTGCTCTGTAAAGTTAGTGTATATATTCTCACAGTAAGAATCCTCAAAAGAAATTGCGTTTAAAATCAGATGGTGAGTGTAAATCATCTTTCTGAATGTGACCACAGGAACGGTTACTTTTTGAACGTTTCTCATTGCTCAAGTTAGAACTTAGATGACACTTTATGCGCTTGAAGATTTGAATAAAATATGTGGTGCTGGTAGTTTGACAATTGACACTACTCACCAGACATTTAGTTGAGACTTGAGAGTTGAGTTGAGACCCGAAATTTATAAACGAATGGTTCTTGCTTTTGAATTCCAAGGCTCGTAAATAAAATGATCCAAGTTCCTGAGTTATATGATACGTACAGGTTTTAACACTAAATATGATTATTTATGGAACAATAAGTTGGTCTTATTAGTATAGTAATGTACTGGCATCAGGTTATACGTATATGAAAAGGGCATTTGTATCATAAGGATCTACGGTCAGAAACAATTGATTCCAGTCTTCCAGCTTCTTATATATGAAAAATAATTAAATATATTAAAAACGAAAGAAATAAAATTGTATGGCCCATGCAGGTCTCGAACCTGCGACCTTCGCGTTATTAGCACGACGCTCTAACCAACTGAGCTAATAGGCCATTTGACTTTTGGGGTTATCAAGATAAAATAGAATCAGTTTAAATTAGAAATAAGTAAAATTTCAAATTTTTTTTTTGAAATTATAATTTAAAAAAATAATGTATTTCTGTAATTCTATAACATAAAAGAACGGTCATACATGAAACGGACTTCGGGAGCTTCTTTTTAGATTATACTCTGATCGAAAATTCTCAAAAGAAATAAAGAAAAACGCCCATGGGCCAAGCCCACGGACCTTTTTATTTTTTTTATTCCACATCCCTCACGAGCCAACTCGAAGCTTACAACCAGCAATGGGTTCGCTAGAGGCACCGTCGACTGCGGAAAACAACGGCTCCACAACTCCAGCCCCTACCTCTAACGGCGGAGACCAAAAGCCCTCTGTCTCCGCCAACGGAGTGTCACCCCCTCCAACCGTGATGGCTCAGGAATCAGAAGCATCGAGGAAGCGGAGGGCGAGTATGTTACCACTGGAGGTCGGTACTCGCGTCATGTGCCGTTGGAGGGACGGCAAGTACCACCCTGTTAAGGTCATTGAGCGCCGTAAGACGAACTACGGTGGCCCCAACGATTACGAGTACTATGTTCATTATACCGAGTGTACGTTCTTGCAATCTTTTTCATTTTATTTTTTAGTCACCTCAAAATTCCAGTTCTCTTTTCCGAATTGGATGCGTAGTCTTAGAGTTGAGGACATGTAGTGGTTTACTTGTGTGTTTCATTTTATTTGCGCTTGCTCTTGGTTTATGTAATTTGGGGATTAGGGTTAGGGTTAGGGTTGGGGTTATTGCAATTTTATGGAATTACTTATGTGATGTTCTTAGGAAAGTGATTACAAGCGTTGAATCTAGGATATCAACAGGTAAATGAAATTCTTTGGTTGAAGATACCAATGTCTTTGTGATAAGTGAAGTAATTTGATGGGGAACTGTGATAATGATTCGGGGACGAAAGGATTGGTGCGTGAGGTTAATTGGGTTTGCTGAGGGTTCAGGCTGAAGCTGTGAATTTATATTTTTGCCACTATAGTTATTCTGAGAGTAAAATAAAGATGACCATATGGTGAATTCAAAATTTTGATTAAATGACATTAAATTTCTTGGTGGATATTAGATTGGAGTTATGTAATGTTCTAGTTAGAGATAAAAGATATGTAATAAGTTTGCATTATTGCATCAGAGTTTCATTCTTTTGGGATTTTCATCATGTGGATTATTAATTGACAAGCTACTTTTGATGACGCAAAATTGAATAATTAAATTTGATGTGTTCATATATTCATTCTTTATCCTCTGTCTTTCTCAGTTAATCGGAGGCTTGATGAATGGGTTAAGCTTGAACAACTTGATCTTGATTCAGTAGAAACAGTTGTTGATGAGAAGGTGGAAGACAAGGTATTGACTATTGACTATTGACTATTGCAATCTTACATCCTTCTTTGCTTTACATGCTGTCAAAGTTATCACTTCAATTCTATATCACTGTTCAAACATGCTTGCTAGTTGTTCCTCTAGTATGGTCATGTCTTCAGATGTTTGGGTTTACTGGAGGACAATGCTTACTGTTATCTTTAATTGTAATTTTACTTTCAGGTTACAAGTTTGAAAATGACACGCCATCAAAAACGAAAGATTGATGAGACACATGTGGAGGTATGTTTTAATCGTTTATCAAATGTTGGTTGTAATGATGACGAAGTGCTGAGAACTGACTGTTATTTGACAGAACTTTCTTTTGAACAATTTAATCTGATGATAGACATTCTGATTGTATAGGGTCATGAGGAGCTTGATGCTGCCAGTTTGCGTGAACATGAAGAATTCACAAAAGTGAAAAACATTGCAACTATAGAACTTGGAAGATACGAGATTGAGACATGGTACTTTTCCCCTTTTCCACCAGAATACAATGACTCTTTGAAGCTGTACTTTTGTGAGTTCTGTCTCAATTTCATGAAGCGCAAAGAACAGCTTCAAAGGCACATGGTGAGCTGTGCTTCAAATTTACTATTTGTGTTGCTGTATGTGTTAATGTTTTAGCACATGCTTGAACAAAAAGTTATACTTGAGCAATAGTGAGTGAACGACTGAATGTGCACCTGCGACACCCTTTTTTGATAATTTTTTTTTTCAAGTGATTAAATGATTCTGTGACTGGGGTGCTCCGTATACTTTGTGTCAAAGGGTTATATTTTCTTTAAACAACCCAAGTGAAATATGTTATGGATCTTGTTTTACATGCTTCTCAGATTTAATATTTTATTTTTATTTTTATTTATGTAGAGGAAGTGTGATCTTAAGCATCCCCCTGGTGATGAGATATACCGAAGTGGTACACTATCCATGTTTGAGGTAGGTTTTTCATGCTATTTGGATCTTTAAATATTTGACTTTGGTTTTATTATCATAGTTCATAGCAGGGCACCTCGTAGTCTCCCTCTCCATCCTTCCCCTCTGCTGCTTCTATAAACTATAGCCTATATTCTTTTTCCCTTTTACCTTTCTAGTTGAACAAATGACTTCTCTACTTTATATGTTTCATATCAGCTTAAGGAGACAAACTTCGTGTAAACTTCTTTTGTTACTCTAAAAGTTTTGAGTTACTTAGAGAAATTGCAGTTTCACTTTGATTTGCATATATAAGGTGGAAAGAAAATCGATTTCCTATAATTCTTCCTGCCATACAGATATGAAATCAATAGTTGAGTAATATTTCCTTTCATTTTATGTTTGAAACAGGTTGATGGGAAAAAGAACAAAGTTTATGGGCAGAATCTTTGTTATTTGGCTAAGTTATTTCTTGACCACAAGACACTTTACTATGATGTTGACCTGTTTCTATTCTACGTGTTGTGTGAATGCGATGATCGGGGGTGCCACATGGTTGGATATTTTTCCAAGGTAATTGTTAATGCATCTTATTTGCTTTTGTATCCTTATAAAAAAATAATAATAATAAATAAAAAGAACAAATTATCTTGTGTCAATGCTGCGTGGATCAAGTTTTCACATCTTAGAGTGGTCATATGTGATCTAGAGGGCATGCAATTTGAACCTGAGATTTCAGAAACACTAATATTTGAGTGCTCTAAGTGTATCTTGTTTGGTGATGCAGGAAAAACATTCAGAGGAATCCTATAATTTGGCATGCATCCTCACCCTTCCACCTTATCAAAGGAAGGGCTATGGCAAATTTTTGATTGCTTTCTGTAAGCCTCTGCTGTTCACTTTTCATATTATGTTATTTGATCCTGAGTAGTTACAGAATAGTACTTTGTGTGTGTATGTGTATAGATGTGTGTACTGTAAGAAATAATCACTAGAAGCTGAACTATGAATAAGACTGTAGTGCCTTCTCTGATGGTGCAATGAAGAAAGCACTTTCAACATTTTTTTTTCCTTTGAAGTTTTAAGCATCAGTTTCTTGTTAAAAACTATCATCCATATGGCATGAGTTCACTTTTGAAGGCAAAGACTATATATTAATACCTCATTACCTATAAATACTGTAATTTATCCCAGAAATTGACCATGCTCTAGATCTAAAGCAGAATCTCTCCTAGTCTTTCTGGTGTAACAGCTCTTTGTTGCAGTCTACTCTTGACTATGCAGTATTAGGTCTAAGTCGTAGTATCCATGGTGGACTTTAGTGGGAATATCAAAGTCATCTATTTAGTATATCCTTTATGATCCTGAGTACACAATATTAAAAGCTTTGACTGGTGTCATACTTCTTTCCTTTGTCATTATAAAAGTTAATGTTGCATGGTTAAGTACTTGTATTATTTTAGTATAAACAGTTGCTCATGTTATCTCTAACATGGAGCAGCATATGAACTCTCCAAGAAAGAAGGGAAAGTTGGCACCCCGGAAAGACCTCTTTCTGACCTTGGGTTGTTAAGTTATAGAGGATACTGGACCCGCGTCCTTCTAGACATCTTGAAAAAGCACAAAGGGAATATTTCTATCAAGGTACAGATTTTTTCGTAATCCATTTCATTAGTCAAATAATGATAAGTCATTGGGACATCCAATTAACCATATGCTGTTGTTGGATTCTATATATGGCATGAAATAGATTCAAATGCAAAAATCAACTTTAGAATATGACAGAATTCTGATTTAGACACCTGTTTATTTGCGTTGTTTTTTCCTATTGTGAATACTCTTTGCATTGAAGTTATCTTGTGTATTAGTCCAAAGTTTGTGTCAAAGCTCAAGCCCGAATAGTACGGCCTGGTGTGCTTGTCCATGTCTGTGTGTGAATGCATGCACACGTATATCCATACACATAAGCTCATTCTTATTGAGAAGAAAAAACACTATCCACATATGGTTAAGGCAGTAGACAAGCAAAGCAATGTGAGGAGGGGGTAGGATATGTTTTAGTGAAAAAGATGAATGATAGGGAAAGGAATCGAGCTGCTGCTTGTTCAGCTTCCTTCACTCCTTTCTATGCAGCGGCTGGGAAGGGCATAAGCAATAACTTTAGCACTTTACTCAGGGGTGTCCTAAATGTAATACACCATCTCATTAATTGCTAATTTTGTGGTATATACCTTTGGTGTTACTCTTTCTTATGATGTATTGCTACTTTTATAACTGTTGAATTATACTTTTTTCTTCAATCCTGTACTTTATACAGGAGCTCAGCGACATGACAGCTATCAAGGCAGAAGATATTTTGACTACCCTACAGAGCTTAGAATTAATTCAGTACAGGAAAGGGCAGCATGTCATCTGTGCAGATCCTAAGGTCCTGGATCGGCATCTGAAAGCTGCTGGTCGTGGTGGTCTTGATGTTGATGTTAGCAAATTGATCTGGACTCCTTATAAAGAGCAGGGTTGATTGTTGCATCAAATAATCTCTATGTTAGTTTTCACCTTTGCTTGTATAAATATAGATTTTAGTCGATGAAATTATCATTACATTAGATCATGGCTTGAAATTCTCGTTGAATATACTTTGATTGTTCTATCTGTAATGTGTAGTAATTAACCCACGAGTGTATTTCTCACAAATAGAATTGTAACCTTGTAGGTAGCTAATTCCTTGAAAAAAAAAAAAAAATATATATGTATATATTGGCTAATTTGTTCAGTCTTCATTCAGCTTCTGTTAATTGTGACCTTTTTAGAAATGTTTTGTTCCTTATCTGTTGGGCGGTGTTGTTGATTTATGACTTCAGGTATAGTTTTTATTAGCAAATTTCTTACGAATTTGGAGAATATTATTGTTAGATATTTTGGTGTCAACCATATAAATGTTACGATTGTTTGATTATTATAATGATTCTTATTGCTCAAAAAAAACACTAGTCTAGCTAGAGTTTAAAAATTAAAAGATTCATTTCGAAATTGCTGTCACATAAACTAAACAAAAAGAGACTATCTATTATGTGGGAAAACGCTTTTTATTTTTGACCGTTTCACGACTCTTCCATATCAGTTTCCCAGATTCTTGGTCCTCGAGTTCTTGAGGCTTGTCTTTTAAGATAAGAAGTAAAAGGAAACATCAAAACGAAACGACAACTACTTCATCTTTTTTTCTTCTCTTATACTATTCTCTTTTGTTATAAATATTACTATTATCACTCGATAGAGTCCTCCTCTCCATTATTATAAAAGACAATGAAATTTGCTTATGACATGTCCTCAACCACACTAGTCAAATTCTGAGATTTTTAATCCACCATTTGGCCCCCTACTTTTTGAGTTAATAATTAATACTATCAATGTGATTGGTGTGACATGAAACAGAAAACTTGATCACACACCCTCTAACAACCGGCAAGAGATCAGAAATCAGAACCCAAAAACAAATTTTGTATAGGAAAAACCGAAAAAAAAGTTGTGAAGTCTAGATCTAATTTCATTGATCAATAATTTCATATACAGACTGATTAATAACATCACATGAGATGATGCTCTAATTAAACACAAAATAATTGAACAATATCAAAATTGGAATATCATATCAAAACAAACCCTATACATTTTCTATGCAACATATCTCATCACACTTAATTTGAAGAGAACGTACGTTTTCTCATTCAATTCAAACAGTTGATACTTCAAGTTGGTGCCTCGGAATTTGAAGATGTTGTAGCTGTAAACTCTTCAATGCACCCCCACCTGATCTCCTTTTCCAAAGACTGTTTTCATCTCCTTTATCATCTGGTTTTGCCACCTTCTTGATCACCGGCAAAGGAGGATCCATTTCAACTATGTTAATGCAAACATCACTCTCTTTAACATCTTCAACCTTTGGCTTATTACTTACACCATTCGTGGTCACTTCTCTTCTTCTGCAACAAGTAGTAGTAGTTGTTGTAGCTGTAATGTTTGTATTGGCAGTGAGATTTTTCCCGGAAAAGAGCTTCTTGAGTTTGAAGTACTTGACATTATTATTGCTGTTGTTGGTTTTAGTGGAAAGGGTGAGTTTGTGAGAAGTAGGGAAGCCGACTATCTTGTTGGTTCTCTTAACTTGGCCCATGCAACCGATCTTCGGAGATAAAGGGTCGTTAGAAACGGAGGTAGATCGATCTTCCCATTTGGGAAGCGCCACGTCTTTGATGGAGGGCCTTGAACAAAGCATAGGCAAGAATGTACTCTTGTGAATATACAGGTTTTGGTGATGAAAATGGTGATTATACCCATTTCCCATGTATGTTTTGGATGTTGTTGAGAGAAAGAAAAGAATAGAAAGAGAGACGCAGAGAGTTGGGTTAGGATGAGAATGGACTGTGGAGAATAGGCTAGTAATAAGAAGAGGGCATTGAGTATGTCAAACAGTCAAAGATTTTTTTTTTTTTTTTTTTTTTTTTTTTTGGGAGGGAGTGTTGAGTTTGTCAAAAAAAGGAACAAAGTCTTGTAAATTGGGAAGAAGACTAGAGTATAATTCTGAAGTTTACTGGGTCCTGTTGACTTAAAATTTAAAAGATGAAAGATGAGGACAAATGAGAAGTCTAATTTAACACATGGGAAGGGGCAAGGCAAGAGGACCAATATTGATTTATTCTGGTGTAAAATGAAAGGCATAACATAAAGAAAGCAAAAATGTTGAATGGGTTATAATTATTATTATGAAAACCGAAGCCGGCCAATCTAATTATGCTCACTTTACACGCTACTGCTTCTAAAATCATACACTCACCCATCTTTTGTCTCCTTCATCCTTTTAATTATTCAACCCAAGAGACGATTCTGAATTTGATTATATCTGACGTATTTGAGGTTTTAAGAACTTGACCCTTGAAAGAGAAACATATTATTATATGGTTGAAGCCACTCTCCACTTTGAACCCAATTATTTCTATCCTTATTTCACCACACCTTCATCATTCTGTATTTTGTCTTCATCCATAAATCTTCTTTCTTTTTTCCACTGTCCTTATAGTTTATAATTGGTACACTACACTAATTTCTTATTCTTGATTGGTTTAAATAGTCAACCAGTCAACACGTATGATAATAAATAATTACCCACATAACATAATTAAGTCGAACCACCTTCTCCAGCCACCAATCAATCCTTCTCTCATTATTAAATTAAACCTTAATCAAATCCATTTTCTTTGGTTAAATTAACCTAATTTTCTTAATTAAATTAATTTTTTCTTTTCAATATTTCTAAAATGACCTCTTATTATTATTAAATATTTCTAATTTTTTCGGGTTAATGACCTCATTTTACCGTCATAAAACTCGTCACTTAATGTGAAGTGCACGTCATTCATTGTGATGATCCTTGGAGGGTCCGCGCACTGAGAGAGATCAGAGAACGATCAAATGGGGAAGGGGAACCACAACAACCGTCCGATGTGGATATATAGAGAGTTGCCACGTCAAACACATGGCATCACTCAAATAACAGCTGTTTCCACAGTCATATTTATTAAATTATTTGTAATACCTTAAGATTTACTATATGCCAAACAAATTTAATTAAGAAGCAACAAGCTCAATTCACAAAGAAATTGTTAATGTGTATATTGGTGGTGAGGGGGAAACAAACCACATGCAGATCACGTGTCATCAAAATTTTTGGCGCTGAGTGGAGAGATGCATACAACCCAAAACTTAGCCGACACTCTATATCAATCACCATGTGGGTGGCACGTGAATCCTCCATTTCCTTACTCTTTCACTTTGTGTTTTGTTGGCCTAACTTCAGATACTGTTTCTATATTTTCATATTTAAAAGTTGGACCATCCATTAATAAATCCACAAAAAAAAAATATGCTTATTAAATAGAATTTCAAAACAATCAAGTCAATGGTTTGGTACAAAAGGGCTGGTGCCAAATGAACTAGAGAAAGTGAAGTCTAGGTGAATAGGCATTTTAGGGCTCTGTCACCCAATATCTACTTATCTCCGACCTTTAATTCATAAAAAGATGAAGTAGAAGGATTGTCCCCACTGTGTATTATTTTATACAAAACGAAGGGGAATAGTTGTTAAGCACAAGAAACAAATGGCGATCTCCCACATGATCTGCTTGGCTATGTACAGTGCAGACAAGAAAAATTCAGGCGACCCAAATTGAAGAAAATCACGCCCTAGCTCCAAGGCATTAAATTATTTTTTATTATTAGATTGAATAAATAAATTATTAGTGTTCTAGTGTGTGCATGTTGTCCTGTATTTACTGTAACTTTTTGTTTTGAACAGATGGGTCATTCTCGTTTGGTTTTAATGATTTTATATTTGACCTAAGCCCGACTAATTACGGCATCTTTGGAAAATTGGCTCCAATCCAACACAAAAAACGACACTAAATTAATATAAGTGAATAGTATCACACCAAATTTGATATAATACTATTTATCTACACCAATTTTATGTGTTATTATTCATTTACTATAAAATATATTTTATATTTTTATTTTTATTATTTGTATTTATGTTAATTTGATTATTATTTATAATAATAAATTCATAATAATTATATAATTCAAAAAATGATGAAAAATTGAAAACAAAACTTTAGTCAATACAAATATTAAACTACAATAACTCAAAATAAAAATTAACATTAATTTAAAAACACTAAAATTAAAAGAAAATACAACATAAACTAAAATAATAATTTAATATTTCGGTAAATTAGTTCCGGATCTTCTAAGATCATCAAAATATTGGAAAGAACTAAAGTTATTTTGAGATCTTTGACCCTGTTATTGAGCTCTTTTTTGCATAATTATTAATTGCTCATTTTGAAAAAACTCACGCAAGCTTAAATTGGTTATGGAATTCAAATCCGATTTCAAAATTTTCTTGCTCAACATACAGAGGCTCATCACGCTTTTCGAAATGCATTAATTAATCATTTGTGGGAAGAATATACTAATTCAAAAAATTAAATTACTATCAATGAGGAATTTTACTTTTGTGTTATTGTTTTTTTTTTTTTTTTTTTGTGGCATTTTATATTAGATGTAATATTTTTTTATAGTAAATGTAATATTTATTTGATAAAATAAATTCTTAATTTTATTAAATTAGTATAATTTTCAAAGTTATTATTATTTAATAAAAATATTATTCTCAATATTTAATTAATATATACAAAAATAATTAGTAAAATAAATTAATTATTGATTATTAATAAAAAAAAAGAATGAGAATATTCCAATGAATATTATTTTTGATATAATATTTGGTACAACGGGGTTGGAGATGTAATAGTGAAATGCACAAAAAATCACACCAATTTGGTGTGAAACTTACACAATTTGGTGTTTATGGTTGAAGATAGTCTTAGAAGAAAATTACAAACGAAAGAGACCCGAATCCTCCAACAGAGATTACAAGAACAAGTTAGATGACGAAATAGCCCTGAATATTCTTGATATGCCTCCTCGCACCTTCCTTTCATTTTCTTCATGTCTGTTGTTCAACTTCGGAAATTATTAGGTTTAACACGGCTCATTTCAATCTTTCGTAAAGTTACCGGAGAGACGAGATTCAGTAACATAAAACTTTGGGTTTGAAAGCGTTATCTTAGAGAGACAGATTCATGAATGTGTTGAAAGTTGGAATTACAAAGAACCACATCTAGACCTCCTTATTCAACAATTTCGTCACCTACTTTTTATTCACATACATACAGGGCAAGGTGAAATGAATTTGTCAAGGTAGACAAGATGGACTATGATCAGATCACATGATATCATAAAAATCAGAATTGCCGGTGGTTCAGTTAAAGCTCACTAATAATATAATATTGCCTAAGAACGTTTTCAGGAATAGATTTCCATCAGTATTGTGGTGTTTTAAAACCCAGCCGGGCTCGACCAATTGAACCGGTTCAATTGGGACCTGAGGCCTTCACTGAATCGGGTTATCAATTTTCTTATTCACCAAAAACCCCAAAATTTAGAATGATGATCGACGAACAATTGAAGGTCGGGATATTAAGGCTTTTAAGGAGGAAGTGCCCGGTGAATGCAATGGTGACGACGAAAGTGAATTCCGACGAGTGAATAGATCAAAAATCAAAAAAAAAAAAAAAACAGTGACGAGGTGAGATGGGTTTTTGTCAGGAGGCTGAGGGAAGTATTTTCGTACTGATGGGGAGAGTTGTCGACACCGACGATTGTGAGATCTGACGTGGGTTGTTGACACCAGTAGTGGTGATATCTAGCAGAAATCGAACCAATTTCGGCCAAATCTTGGATATATTTTTTAGGAAATGAACTCAAGGGATGATTTGAATTGCATTTGGTGTGTCAACTGCTGATTTATATAGGGGTGTGTTTGCTAAATTTCAAACCTGTAGGGACTTAAAAATTTTCAAGGGTGCATTTGTTGAATTTTAAACTTTTTGACACCCCATCAACCTAGGGGCTAGGACCCGATGACTTTGCCAGATTTTACCTTGGGTTGGTTATTAAACATTCAGTAGTATTGCACCTTCACCGGAAAGCAGATATTTCGTTGCGCTTTGTAAAGTTGCTCAACAAAGTAAAAGGTTCAAGTTAATGCAATCCCTGTAAAAAGATTGCTATGATTCAAGTTTAAGAAATTAAAAGAACCACCGGCAAGTTAATCTCATAATAAACCCACCTCAGAAATCAGTACCCTAATTTTTTGGTCAATATGAAATTTCAGAATTAAAGGGAAAGGGAACTTACAATTATACATTTTTCAGGTTTCTTTCCTGATGGGGCAACTTTTCTTAGAGATTAACGAATGGTGATTCATTAATTTTTTATCTTCTGGCAACAGATAAATAAAAATTTTCATGTTCATTGATGAAAATTTAATACTCTTCGGTCAAACACAGTTAAGCAGGGACTGCGTTACCATGGGGCCATCCCCCACATTTTCATCCCCGAAGCTATATGTGAACTATCCTTCCTATGTTTCAAGCTCCTATAGCTTTTAATCCTGAGCCAACCATAAACGATAGTACCTTGAATGCATGATGGATATACATTTCTGAGTTAGGTTGAACGGAGAGACCAGCACCCGAAATATGCATCTTCTCAGGAATTCTATTTGATGAACTTCCAATGCGATATTCCCACATCTTCCCTTGATTTTCTCATTGCACTTCTATGATTCACTTGGAATATTCAGACAGCATGTACCACTCTCCGCAACCCAATGCTATTTTTATCAAAATTAGCTTTCCACTGCAAGACAAGAGAAAGAAAGAGCCTAATTGCCTGGCTACCCCATTGAAGACTCAACATTTGTCTACACGAAATGCCTTTCCAGAAGATGGTCATTGAGAAGTCTCATCATTTTTCCCATCTTCATGTACATTTGCCCCATCCTCCAGCAACTGGGATTCGGCAATATCTTCACCAGAAACTAAAGCTTGATTAGAACCATCATCTGAGCCGCTGGTATTTTTGTGTGATTCATCATTCAGCTCTGATGTTCTACGATCTTCAGATTCCTTCACAGTTTCAGCATGAGGTTGGGCTTGAGTATGCAAATCCAATGAAGGAAGTGAGGGAGTAGCACCACCCAACCCTTTGGAAAGACAAACGTATTTAAAAACAAGTTGCTTATAATTATTCAGCAGGTCTTCTACATTGTCAATTGTAAGGTCACCAACATGGGCAAACAAGTATGGATACTCCTGAAAGATTTTGTTTGCCTTGTCCTCCTTCAAAAGCATGTTTGCCCCTTTATTCTCCAACTCTGAGAGGGATGGAACTTTTGTTATTGGTGCCTGATCTTTTGCAAATGCTACTTTCTTACCTCCAGACTTTGTATCGGAAGATTTGGACCGTATCACAGGTTCCTTTTCCTTCTTAGAATTTAGTGCATGATGTTTGGATTCTATAAGTTCTTCTCTAGAAATTTGTCCTACACTTTGATCAGACAGGCCATCCATATCTGTCGAAAGACCAGATAGTAGGGCTCGAGCAGATTCCATATTCTTTTCAAACTCAGACTCCTCCATCGAAAGGGCTTGTGCATCAATGTTTGAGATGAAAGACTCTGCAGAGAGCATGTTAGTGAAAAAGTAGGCTGCTTCTCCAACCAACCGGGATTGAGACCTGAATCTTTGAATATACAACAGATTCGAGTGTAGCTGTGGAGGGTTTGCCTGAAAAAATATCAGCCATACAAAGTAATTCTTATATAGCTATTAAATATAGATCACATTTAAAATGACTTTTCAACTCTAAATGTAAACATATGACAGTGTGAAAACACATAGCTGTACATCCATCAATTATTTTGGTTGTAGATTTTTGTTTAAACATAGAACCACAACAAAAAAAGTTTTGCCTTCATGCGTCTGCGAAAGTTTCTATCATGATAATATTCATAGTTTAATCTTCTACCAGCTCAATGATGAGAAGTAGATAAGAGACTCAGTGATGACAAGGATTGAGTAACTCAGTGTTACGTATGCCATGTCATGTGAATTACAATATGTAGATAATGTAATCACAGTTAAAATATTGATCTCACCTTTATAGTAACATAAATTAGGACCGGAAGAAATTCATCAGCGCCAGGGGGATTCTCATTTGAAGCTATGGAAGCATTAAGGAGTAAATTGTTGATAACCTTGCAACAATTGAGAATACATACAAGCTTATCTCTTGGAGCCTTGTACATATTTATCTTCTGCAGCTCTTTCTGTGCAAGCTGACAATTTAAAATAAAGATGCAGCGGTAAGACAATATTGAAATAAATGAACCCAGAAAGATATCATTAGGTTCTTCAAGTCAAAGCTGCTACTAACAGCCAAAATAGGTGTCCACTTGTTCTTTTCCCTTGTAAATGTGGGAAATTCAGTTGAAAGCTAAAAGATATACTTTTCGCCATTACAAACTAAATGACTTCAAATCAATGAAATTACAAAAGCATGTATCCTCACAGCATGTCAAATATCATGGTTTAGTGTATCCACAAAAAACTCATACTTGTTAAAAGAACCTGTCAAATACTTTTAAAGCATGTATAATTTAACATCCATTATGCATTACATCATTTCAACATTATTGACAACTATTTTGGAAGCAATCTCACATTCTGCTCTCGTTTATGAGACTAAAATAACAATTAACCTCCAGATATTGCTAAATACATACTGAACATGGCTTAGAGTGATCTCAAAAAGAGAAGCAGAGGAATGGGAGGTCAACTATTGGACTTTGGAAAAATTGTCTGACACATATAGGGTTACTTCTACACGAGAAAACCAAGCATCATACTAAGTATCGAATGCAAGGATGACAACTCAAGGAGAAAAGAGCTATATAACATGTTTCCCAAAATTGTACTAATATGAAAAGACAAATATAGCATGTGAGCCTTTCCTGAGTAACAATGACTCACAAAGAGTATGAAACAAAGTATAAATGTTGCCTCCTACATGAAAATAGCATCCAACACAAATCCTAAATGTCCAAAAAAAATTCAAAGAATGGATTGTAAATGTCATAAGTGTCCACGTGGAACATGCTTATACTGTCAACAAAGTCCAATAAGCCAACCATCTAGATGGAGAGGTGCTCTACAGATTAGATAAAAAATCTTTTGAGATGTAAATTCTTCCACTTACCAGCCATGATGATTCGTTTTGAAAGGTTGATTTAATATCCAAATATTCAGGCCGAATGAATTGTTGAACCAAAGCAGTCTTCTCATAAAAATTTTCATCAAATTTTACATCATCAGCAATTGATGCAAATACACGGGTAAATAATTTTGTCATTACATACTTCTCCAATCCCTGTATATAAAGAACCCAGAGGTAAACAAGTCAACATAATAAGAAGTACCATCCATATAAGAAATTATAACCAGGACGTAAGTCCAAATAGATATGAAATTTACGCTGTACAGCATCAAGTTATGTAGTAGTTCTATAACAGACTTTGACAATAATTATCTTCCATATATTTGCATGATTCAATTTCCTTTAAAGCAGTTATTGTGGCCAAAAGGCCAAAGCCAATAGATCCAAGATTCACAAAAATATTATCATTGGACTGAAATGAAATTGTTTTGCTCTCTTTTAGTTTAGATCACCACAAATGTCAGCAAAATCCCCTTTGGCTCCTTCAAGCCCCAAACACAGTTTGTTTCATCGGTAATTATAGAAGGATGGGTAAACCCCTTCTCTCAAAAATCTAAAAAGACACCCACAATATATTCTAGGTCTCATTGCCAATATCTCTTTCAGAGTAATCTCATGATTAGTTGGCATCGAAGGGATTTCAAAAATCATCTTAGATGGCCATTGTCCTTTCACTATGTGGTTCTCAGTCTCAGAGGTAGAAGAGAAATCTAAGAATTTATTTGGCAGGTACTAACGGTGAGTAATCTACAATATGATCTAATCTAGTAGCTATTAACAGTCCATCACTTCACAAGGATCAAAAAACAGATTCACGTTTCAGATTTTTTTTTTCTTTTTTTTTGGATTTAATCTCCATTTTATGACAATATTATTATTTAGTCTTTCCATGTCACTACCCTGGCTTTAAATTCTCTCTATGTTATATAGGGTCACACACACACAAACACCCAAAAGGAAACGTCAAGCTACCATAATCTATTTATAAAGAGATGTCATACAAGTAAAAACCTAGTTACTCACTTCACCGGCACTCTCCAGCTCCTCCTCTGAACAACCAGCCCAAAGTGGATGAGCCCTGAAAGCGGCTTCCATATTGGAAAAGAACTCCTGCACTGCGGCACTATCCCTTTCTGGATCAGGAGCATTGTTTGAGAATGACACAATGAAACTGCAAGAAAACATTTCACATTCAAAACCTCGAGCATTACTGCCTCAAAAACAATAACAATATGCAGTTTAAAAAAAAAATGCTGCAATATAGAGATTTATATATTTAATAAACAGCCCCCCACCTTGGCTTAGCCCTCTAGCTCAAATCTAGCATTATCATGACCTGTGAGTTTCATAGATCACAATTAACCAAAATTAGTCAAGCAATTTGCTACCTAACTAATTTCCTTACATTTGTTTCTATCTCCCTGATGGATTCCAAATTAAACCTCTACTTGGTTCTAGCAATCAGCTATATTGAACATCTATTTGACACTGTGTAACTAACGCTGATACACATTCTGTATGTCTCTTTATTTGCTATTTTTAGTCACAAACTTCCGGCAATCAATTATAATGTCACCAACCTCATCAACAACGTTTCCAAATCAAGTGCCCCACAACCCTCCTTAGGACTAGAAGCAAGAAACTATTGGTTTTTTGCCAAAAACGCCGATGAAACAGTGAAGAATTCTCGCTGAACCACATTTTACACTACAATGTCTTAGAGTTTTAAAATACTTAGCAAACATCAATTCATCAAAGTTAAGTTTATCCATTATAATCTTCTTTAGATGTTAAAAAGAGTTGCCATATTTTAAAATTTCATTAATTCATCGGCTCATTTATATGCACAGAAAAAACGCTCATCTAACCGGCCCTGGCGGAAGAATTACAAGCATTGACTTAATTTAAAAGTCAAGATATCAGACAGATGACAGCAATAGCTGAATTCAAAATAAAATTTGTACCGATCAACTTAGAAAAAGAAAATCGCAAGCTCAAAAAGAACAAGAAAGAGAAGGAGATGACCTCTTGATGGATTTGACGAAATCGGCGGCAGAGGGTTGGCGCATGCGTTCTAGAAAGTCGTGCAGGCCCAAGAAAACGTCCGCGTTCTCCATTGAACTTCCACCGTCCGATTGTTGAAAAAAAATAATGAGAGCTTGCAATGATGAGAGAGCGGCGGAGAGTTTGAGCAGTGTATGATGTCTCCAGATGGAGCAGCAGGTGAAAAGCTAATGATTTGATTATGGACATAAGTGGCATTAACAGATGTCTAAGGTTGTTTTTGATATTTGGTAATGGAGTAAGTGGAGACTTCAAAGATGAGCCCAATAACCTTGGGAACAATTTTATTTTATTACCGTCCAATGATTTTGTAATACAGTAACTCAAGCATCAATTGACAAAAAAAAAATGTCTAAATTTTATTTACAAAGGCCAGTTTGTTCTTCCCATGAAAAATTGCCGGGCAGCCTTCATATTGAAGATTAATCCGACAAATCGCAACCTCTTCATGGAAAATTATTTCAATTCCCGGTTTGTTAGTTGTTACAACTTATGCTCTTTAGAACTCCGAGTAAAAGATGCAAGATTTTGCTTCCTAGACTCGAAAATTTATTGGATTTACTTGTAATTATATATTAAAAAAATTGGGAGAAAAAGAAAATCACTTATTAGTTATTAGTTATTACAGAGCCGCAGGAACCTCCATTGTTCCTGAGAGAGTAACATGACATCAAAATGATTAAAAAACGCTCAATTTTGTAACAATAATTATCTGTTTTCTGTTCCTGTAAGTTTCTTGTCAAAATATTTCCTGAGAGACGCAGCCGTGTACATGCATGGAAGGAGTAGAACATCTGAACATCTAAAACTTTAGGAGCTTTGAGATTGAGTATAAAGAATTCTGAAATTTCAAGTTTTTGTTGAAAATTGAAAGGTTGTAGTAACTATGTCATAACTGCCTTGATTGCAAGAGTTAATTGTATATTTCATCTGTCACCATGATTGACACCATCATGTTCAGAGGAAAACATACGATCCAATACCAATATATTTATTTTGTTGATTGCAATTTCATCACCTAGATATTGAAAGCATCAAGTTACTACACTGGCGAATGCCAGCATTTTGCCACTAAAACATATGAAAAACAAAAAACAACCTTGCATTCTTACATTATAAATGAGAAATGCTATATTCAGATTTTCACAAACACCCTGCAAAAGGATTCCTCCAACATCAGGAGAATCACAATCTGTTACATTCAACATCTACAATACATTTCCAGTACTCCACTACTAACATGGAAAATATTTTACAATAATGTAATGTACTATTACCAAAAGGAAATGAAAAGATAAAAGACGAAGAAAAAATATATATCACATAACTTATCATGGAATTTCAACAGGGCTAGTGCCATTCTTTTTATCACGAGACAGGGTGTTGCAAGTTTGAGGAACAAAATATGTGGCCGTACATTAAGCCTTTTGACAACAATTCACCTATCTAGAAAATTACATTCAATTCATAAATTTGAACAATAAGAAAAGTATAAATTAATTTTGTGTATAAATAGCCATGTATTGTGTCCTCAAACTTGTGTGGGAAGAACATATCTTGAACGTACCATTTGTTTCAGGTTCACATCTAGGCACCTGCGAGCGGGTTGAAGAGTCAACTCTTATACAACAAATGCCCAGGGGTCTCTCGCTTTCAAGAACTACCATGTAACCTCCAAAAATTTGAACTATTATTGACTTGTATTTCCCATCTAATTCCACTCCTTTCCCTATCTCAAAGTCAGTAATTTTCATCTCTTGTTGATCACCTGTGAAACACTTCCACTTGTATTGATTCAAAACTGGGCACTCCAAACAACAGCATCTCCTTCACCGCACTTTTCATGTACGAATTTTAGTTTCTCCACAGACTTACAGATTCCACTGCAGCTCCAATCAAATGATGCAATGCATACGTTTCCTGCCTGTGCTTTCCACTCACAATCTGCAGAGGCAGATACAATACATGCAAATTTAAAAAACAAGGAAAAACCATACAACCTAATGAACTTATGGACTATTCAAGTAGAATTGAGTGGCCAGATCTCAATAAACACAGTATTCCTGACATGGATGTCACAAAATGGATCAAGATTCACATCCATAAGGGACCCAACCTAATGTGGATAAATAACCCGAGCTTAGGATGCACAGTTGATACTTAACTTCCTAAATGCAAAAAATATCTTAAAGCATCACATCTGCATATAAAAACATATCAGATGATATAACCATAATGATGCTAAGTTTCATCATTGAATGGTTCACAAATCTCCCAACTGGTAATCTATCAGTATAAATATACTAATATCCCTTCCATTTTGTTGTTTCTAGGATGTCCCATCCCCATCTAGTACGTCAGAAGTTATTATATTTAGGTCTGGGATTGGTATAAAACATAGCAGTCATAATTTTTCAAAATCATACCTGGTGGAGTCCCACAACACATATTGTGGTCATCAATGTGCTCAACCTCGAGACCTATAAACCACGAACCAAGTGACACATCTTCATTGGCAAACTTATGCAATATAGGCCTGCAGTCACAAAGATCACAGCCAAGGTGTTAGCTGGCTCACTGTATATGCAAAAGCAAAAAGTTGAAAAGCTACCAGATCTAAACCAATCTGTTTTAAACATATAGGCATGGAATTACATTTGAATAGTCCTTGGCATTTTCATTGTGATTTGGCTTTTTACACGTTCCAAATGATCAATTTTAACAAAATACAGTGCAGTAGTACCGAAATTTTATACCAACTTGTAAGATATACATGTTTTTAATGACTAAAATGAAGACACTGACAGACAAAATGTCAAGAGCATGGTTCTTTGGTTTAGGCATGAGTAAACAAGAAATTGTATTGTTAGATCAGCACTTATATGCTAAATTAGAGCATTATGGACACTGGACTAGAAACCTTAACAAGGTAGCTCTCAATGTAACAAATTAGGCTACTTTCACAAGAATTCACAATGCTTACTGGTTGATAGAGATATATGTGGCAAGATCCTTCGAAATCGCATATATCTGCCCAGTTGCATGTCGGAAGTATTTATTCCCCTCTTCTCCAAATTTCCAGTACTCTGGTTCATGGTACTTGACGTGCCTGGGGAAAGTAAAGAATTAAATAAGATTTATACAACAACTCTGCATGCATGACATGAAGTAAATTCAACAGTAAAATTATCATTAACATAAAGCAGGGGACTTACTTTTGAGAAAGAACAGGTCCAGATTTCATACAGCCCATATAAACTCTGGGCTTTGTACGGTGATGAGCAAGAGTAGTAGCTAGCATACCTACACAAGCAAGATATAGAAAATCAAACTCAGAAATGGCAGTTAAAAAGTATGTATCATTCAATAATGAAATGGAAACTTAAATTTTCAGCAAAACTGCATACCTAGATTAACATGGACATCATCATCCACTTTAACATAGAAGTCAGCATCCCATTTTGCAACAGCAGTGGTAAAGAAAGTTTTTGTTTTCGCAGACAATTCATGATATCCTTCAATGTGCTCCTACAAGATAATAGAAGTTGACACAAAGTCCTGGCAAAATTCATAGATTTTCCAAACATACACAACCACTTTATGTTCACTTCTTACCAGCCGCAGGAAGTCCTTGTGCTGAGCATCTTCTGAATCAATAGCTTTATCTAAAATGCTGTTGGATGTTGCACTGTATCAAATAAGGCAGATAACACTTTGGTTCAGTTCCCAATTTGATCAAATGCACACCACTCTTGTCAATATTTAGTTACTATCACAAATTATATATGCAACATATGAAACAAATGAGGTGTAGAATGGTAGAAAGTGCCAGAAGTCCTCACAATCAAGCCTAATAACATGTCATTATAAGTAGCTTTCTAGCATTAACAATCTAAATTCCACCTGACAACACATACACATATTTATAGAGTTTGTCGTTTAGAAACTAACACAGGAAACATCAAGCACATAGAAACAATGCAATCAAAAGAGTGGGACAGCTAAGTCAACCAATATTCTTTCTTAGAATTTTTTAGTTAACTCTTAATTCAAATAACTAACAGCTATTATGTCCTAACGTCATTTTAGTTACCAGTGTCCCCATGAGCCCAGGTTATTTTTAATGGATCAGACTAAATTGGATGTTTTACAAAAATCTGACCATATTCTTTTTCTTCAAACTATTACGGTCAACAGGTCAACTTTCAATTCTAGAACTGCAATTTATAAAGCACATGGCATGGAAAAGGCTCCCACAAAATCAGCAAGTCAGTTCTGTCACGGACAGAATGACTGCAACACAGACAAATAGTTTGCAAGTTAATTTTAATTCTTAGAAGAAGAAATTGGAGTCTGAACAAATGTATAAAAAGAGGCCCCAGAAAAGGAACAGAGCTAGAATTTGTTATACTCAAATTTCTTGTATAACCTATTCAATCACTAATCTTTCACAATTCATGAAATTAAACTAGTATTTTATACCAAAGCTATTTTACCTGTGGCCAATCATGAACCGGACGACAATTCCCTTCTCACGCTCCAATTGAACAAGCTTTTCTCCTAAAGAAACACAACAATCAATTTAAAAAAAAAAAAAAAAATGAACAACGAACAAAATCAACTCAAATCATACCATCAGAAACAAAAGATACCTTGAGGCATCCAAGTCTCTCTAACAGAATCACGCCGCTTCCTACTACTAAAAGCAGTATTAATTCCAATAACCATGAACACTTTCGGTTTCGGTGGGTTCAAGTTGGTTGAATTGGAAACAGAACCTTCTAAACTAGGTTTTTCCCGGGAACTCCGGGACGCTGCCAATTCCATCTGAAGCACCGCAATCGTCTTGTCTAAAGACCTGACACGTATCCAAAATAGCCACAGAGCAGAAACCAAATTCATTAGTAAAAAATTAATCTAAATTCAAAAGTAGCTAAGCTAAATTATAATTGACCAGATTGTTTGTACTCACCGAACTGCTCCATGGGTTTTCATAACTTCATTTAATACCTCTTTATCTTCTTTAGGATTCTGTCAAAAAAAAAAAAAAAAAAAAAAATTTACACAAATTGAAAAAAAAATTGACGAATATTAGAGAGTGAAATTGTGTGGTAATCTAACATACTTTATTAGTAACGCAATCTTTGGAGATAATCCGCAACTCTTGGTCACGACGTTGGCGCGAAAGGAACTGACCGTAGGATTCCGGCGGGCTCCACGTCCTGATCATCGTCACACACATATATAAAAAAATCAAACTCACCTAAACAGAAATGGAAACTTAAACCTAATTTTCCGAACATAAATCCTAAAAAAACTGTACCTGTTACTGAATATGATTCCAAGAGCGAAACATGATAAGCAGATAAAAGGAATCCATTTGGAAGATACAATAGGAGTGTTGTTGGTGCGGCTTTTCATTTTGTGGAGACCGAGAGAGGGGAATGATCTTTGTTGAAGCTGAATATGTAAGCTCTATTTATATCTATAAGCTAAACGAGTTTTTTTTTTTTTCTTCTTTTTTTTTTTTTTTTCTGACTCGTTTATTTGGTTTGAAATTTTGAATATTATGCGGATCAGACCGTCAAAGGTTAGGCCGCATGAGCATGACTCATGAGAGGGCTTGGAAATCAGAACGTAGGGAGTAGGAAGGTCAGAGAGTAACTAACAACAAAAACAATAAGTAAAAGATAAAATGCGACTTTTTGTCGACTACTTGGGACCTCTGGCGTGGATTTCACGTCGACGCCACTCGCAAGTCACGCCTCAAATCGGGATCCAAAATCCCCCGACTCTATGGAGTTGGAGCCCGGCAAGTTATTCAAATATTTCGACCCATCCCTTCAATTTGTCTGTTGTTATATCTAAATATATGCAATTATATGATTAAACTAATTACAAGACTATTTTCTTAATAAAAGAATTTTCTTGATAAGACTAAACCAAGAAAGGTCCGGGATTTTGGTAGCCTTAGGTTTTAGTTAGGTCCGCCCACAATTTGATGCTAAATTGATATTCTATACTATGCGTTGAGTTTTCTAATGCATTTTAGTTTTTAAAATGTGTTAAATTTTTTAGACAATGATTTTTTTTAGTTACCAACTTTATAGTGATGAGTTTCCGTAAACATGGTATTGTTATATTGATTAAATGGTTCCATTACTGAATATTTTTTTCGTCTCACCTATCCTCTCAACTCTCAACCATTATCTCTACATCTCATATTGGTTGCAGTTGTACCATCCTTCATTCATGTAAGTTTTAATTTTAGGATCATTTTAAGATTTGTGGAGAATTGTATTCGTCAAATTTGGTTTTGGGCTCAATTTTAGCTTTATATACAATATAATGAGATTTAGACGCCACAAATAAAGTTTTCAGGATGTAAATTAGTTGTAAGAAAATTAGATGTGAATATAAAACAACATTTATAATGACTATTTCTTAGTGATCGAGTTGTTCAGGAAGAACTATTAGATATATTAATCAAGAGATTTTAAATTTGAATCATTTATCGAATACTAGTAAGGATAGTTACTAAAACTCTTATCTGATCGATAGTTCTAACATCCCGAATAAATTAATTTAAGTACACATAAAACTGGTTCTTATAGTACTGATTATTAAAAAAATAAAAAAAGAACAACGTTTAGAATTGAGTTGAAGAAATCCACAGTGTGGTATTACAAAAGTGGAGTCGGAGACAGCAAGGATATATCGGAGATGGATATGTTTTTGAATTAAAACATTTTCTTATTCCTAATAAACATATTTCAAATGTCGTTAAATCTTAAAAAATATTTTTATTGCCACAGAATAAAATTGATAATAAAAACGTTTTTTCCTCCAAGTCGCAGCATTTTCTAAAAAAACATGATACGTGTTTAATTATCATAACCACAAATTCGCTGTTGACATGTGGATTGCTGCGGACTTTTCTCATTGTTAGAGAAAATTTGGGCTTTGCAAAAAAATAATTTAAATTGAAAATAATAGTTTCTTTTATTTTGTAAAATACACAATAATATTAAACCTGAACACGTCTCCATAAATATAGAATAGGCTTTCTGGCTTTGGTAAAGTTTAAAAGTCAGAAATACCGTTAGTGATGTTACTTGTGTTTAATAATAGTTAATAGGTCTACTGGGGTGGGCAGGCCAGGCATTTGACTGTCCATGGTGGTACCGGTATTCTAAACTCTCAACCGTAGTGGCGTAGTAATCAAACATTGTGATAAAGGAGCTACTTTACTGTAGCGTGTGTGATTTGTCTCATTCAATAAAAAGATTTAATATTATAATTTTGGTTTTAATAAATATTAAATAAGTAATATAAACGTCATCATTACTGTGGATTATAATTTTGTCTTATTACCAGCTAGAGTTATAATTAAGGATGTGCAAAAGAATCGGTCAAAACTGGAATTGGTGCATGGTTCGATTCCAGTTCCTACTTGGAATCGATCCTCATAAGATAGATTTCGGTTCTAAAAATCAAGAATCGATCGGTTTTAGTTTTGTCCTTGCATGAATTCAGAATCGAGATCCAAGTATTTGAGACGAAATCAAAACTGAATTATAATTTTTTTAAACTATGGAGTTATATTATAATTTTTAAACGGTTTATTTATCATTTTTTTTAGAGTAGAGGGTAATTAATTAACCCGGGTACCTGAATCAGAGCCTATGTTTTTGGTTCGGATTTCGATTCCTTTGAATTTGAGTCGGTACCCGAATCTGCCCACCCCTAACTTATAATGAATTAAACTCCTTCAAACCAACATTATATATTTTCTTACTATTTTTTTATTTGAACTTTCAATCTTTTTCAATCTAAATCTAACATTCCAATCTACATTTTCTTCTTCTTTTTTATCTTTCAACAACTTTTTTGACTCCTACATATAGAAACCCTTTCCAAATCCTAATACACTCACTCACATACTATTTAACCATTACGTAAGATAGATTTTTATTTTGCCCCTCTTTATTTAGTAAAAGATCCATCACAAAAAAAATGCTTATTACATGTATAAAAATTAAAATAGTAAAAGAAGTAAATTAATTAATTAAATAATAATTACTTAACGATAAAAAATGTATTGTTGCATCAAATCATATTCAAAATTAACTCTTTTATGACACGTGAATGTTAAAATTTTGAATTAACTCTTTTAGTAATTTTCGTTAAATACAGTACATATTGGTTTTAAAGTCGAAAATATCCTTTCTTTTTCCTTTCTTTTCTTTCCTACCCCTCAACACCAAAATCCGCCACCCCTGTCCCTCCGCCCGCCAGCTCGCCGCCACCAGTAGCCTCACCACCTGCACTTGCTGCCGACTTCACTCCTAGTCGCAAACCTTTCCATTGCCGCCGATTTCATGAGATTGGTTGGAGTTTTGTGGGGTTGATTGATGGATGTATTGTTTTTTTGTGGATTGTGTTGTGTTTTGATTGGTTTTTAGAGTGTGATTTGTTATTGGGTTGGTGTTTGAATTGAGAAGGCATGATAGCCACCTGCCATCGCCGATCACCACCCGCACCTCTCCCATCATCTCCTACCCCCCACCTGTTTGATTATGAACACTTTGCAAATGTGCCTCCCACTGCCCTAGTGAAGATCACACACTCAATCTTCAATGTCAATGATGGGGTAAATGGGAACAAGGCTCACTAAAAGACTATGGTTAGTAAGATTGCATCTTTCCAGCAGTTCATAAGGCATAATTTTGATGCAAGTGATCATGGGACATCAAGCTTCATAGTTACTGTGGTGAATTGCATAGGGATATTAGATGTTTGAATTTTGAACACTGATAGACATGCGGGAAACCATTTAGTGAGGAAGCTTGATGGTGTTGGGAACTTTGGTCAGGTGAAGCTCATTCCAAATGACCGTGGCCTAAGCTTGCCAAAAACTTAGGAGGATCCCTATTTTGAGTGGATCCATTGGCCTCAGGGTTCGATTCCGTTTTCAAATGATGAAATTTGATTACATTAGAAAACTTTGATCCTGTTCGTGACTCTGAAATGCTGCAAAGGGAGCTCCCTATGATCCAAGAGGCTTGTTTGCGGGTATTGGTTCTTTGCACAATTTTCCTAAACGAAGCTGCTGAATTTGGTCTTTGTATTGCTGAAATTGGTGAGATGATGAGTAGAGAATTTCATGCTACGGAAGAGGAACCCAGTGAACTGGAGATTATTTGCATTGAAGCAAGGCGATTGAGAGAGAAGTGTATTCACCCTAGGCAGATATGGGAGATGATGAGTTCCAATTTGATATAGATTGTGAGAAAACAGAGTTTGACTTTGAGGTAAAGATTCAGTTTCAGACTCTTTTCTCCATCGACGGTGGCGAAGGAGAGAAGGAAAAGAGAGGTGGCGAAGGAGAGGAGAAAACAGAAGAAGAGACTATTCTGCCCTTACTTAAATGGGCTTTTGACCAACTTGCCCTTCTTCATAACAAAAATTACTAACAGATCTATATTGTGGGTGGCAAAATTGTATTTTGAAACTTTTTGGGTGGAAAATGTCATTAGGCCAAGCCTTGAGTGGGAAAAAGTCGTTTACTCTAAAAATTAAGACATGCTTTAAAACACTTTTAATTTAAATATTTAACCATTTATTTTTAAATTAATTGGTTAAAATAAAAAATAAAAAAAGGTCATTTTCAATATTAATTCACTAAAGAACATTTTTTAGTTAAAACAAATTTCAATATATTTACTGAATTTATATTTTTTTTAATCATTTAAAGACTCTAATAATTGATTAATTTTTAAATAAATTAATTCATTGGCGAGATATAATTGGATAGATACAAATTGTTGAAACTTTGAGTTAAAAAAGATTCTTACCTTTTATATACTTATCACACAATATTGAAATTTAAATAAATATTATTTATTATTTAAAAACGTTTGAAATGCTTCTGCAAATAAATATAAATGATTTTCTAATAAATTAATTTTGTGAAAAAATACTACAAATGCGTTTTATTAAAACATTTGATGATTTTTCAAAAAAAGTTTTTCATATAAAGATATATGGCTCCGTTTGTTTAGTTTTTTTGAATAGTATTATATTATGATTATGATTTAATCGAATAGATACATTTTTTTTTTTTAACATTTAGATTATTTTAAGCTTCTACATTTATTAATTTAGCTAAACACCCCTTACAATAAAAGTTTATTAATTAACAAAAATACCCCTATCCACCCAATAATTGTTGACCGTAGATCTAGTCGTTTCTGGCCATATTTATGGTGAATATGATTGAAAACGGATAGATTAGGGCGTCAGAGGACGATGGTGGTAGCTGATGGGTGATAGTGGCTTGGGTGAATGAGGGTGTTTTTGTTAATTTAAAAATTTTTATTAAAAAAATAATTATTAATATTTTGAATTAAATATAATATGATTTAATTTTAGAGAATATTAAAACAATCATATTTTTCAATTTTTAGTA